CATTTTGGTCTATCTTCCTTCTCAAATGATTCATTTTCAATTGATAAGGCCTCCACCTTTTCTTGCATTTCTGTTTGGATTTTATTCAATCTTTCATTCATCTTTTTATCTAAAGTGGATTCAAATTTACTAAAAAGTTTTTTCACAATACCAGTAACCATATTCTTAAGGTCAGCTGTTTTGACAAGGTCTTTTGTTACTTCATTCAGATCATCTTTTGTTGTAACATCCCTGAGGCTAAACTTGATTTCATCAAGATCTTTTTGAAAATTAATTATCCCTGATAAATCCATACTAGTATTAGAATATAGCAAAGTGCTCTCAACCAATGAAATTGTAGGATCTGATGCCTCTTAGTTGTGAAGAATGAATGCAAATCATGTTCTTAGTAAGGGATTATCCTATTATTTGGGTCTATTTACAGTTCAAAACAAAGACTTTCTATAAATGAGTTACAACTGCCCCGAAGCACATTTATCAGATTGAAAAGATTTATCACACAGTGACTAAAAGTTGAATTGTGAAACAAAGAAAAAACTCTAAATAAGTTGAAGTTTACTGTGCAGTAAAATTGGTACCGTGAATGTTATTATGAAAATATTCTTCAAATTACTAAATAATTAAACAATATCAAAGCATTTGCAAAAAAAGAAAAAAGAAAAGCTTTGAGATAAAAAAAACAACAACTTAATATTTAGCTTTCAAAAACTTTGATTACTGGATCAGCAGTTTGGAAAAATAGTTATTTCCAATATTCCGATAAAATAAAAATTTTTTAAAAAAAACAGGAATTCAATTTAAGTTTTGAACATATTAAAAACTTTTAAAGGCATTTTATTTGAAAATTTCCCTGACATAATGAAATAGTATTTTATGTAAAAAGCCAGATCAAAATATTGGCTGTTAAATAAAATTTAGTTGTAACTCAAATGTATCATTTGATTTAAACTGTAAATTAAAAAAAGGATAATTCCTCACTAAAATATTACATGATATACATTCATACTCACAATCAGGAAACATATACAATTCCTACATTTTCTTTGTTCTGTTGTGTCACCTAATATCTGTAACACATATTTTTTAAAAATAATTCCCAAATGATAAGAAAGTCCTTCCATCACTAAAACTTATCCATAAATGAAATGCCTAAAAAGGAAGTCATGCATTAATTAAAAACATTGCACTGACAATGAAACTAATTCTTAAATACAACCAATTAAGAGATCATTTCAGAACCTTGACCACTTCACAATATTCTAAGTTTGTAAGAGAATGATAATACCTTACCTAATAGTTATACATCGAGGGATAGGTGTGTCTGGATAAGAAACCCTGTCGGCCGGAGGCCGGAGGGGTTTCTTATCCAGACACACCGTATCCCGAGGTGTATAACTAACTTACACCCCATTCTAAACCCTATATTTGTTAACATTGATTATTAAATGAATAAAAAAACCGATAGCATATTTATTGACAATACCAAACCATGATTTATAAGAATTTTTGTTATTACATGAAACCCCACTAGTAACCTTTCTTTGGTTACCTTCGTTCAAACTTTGACAAGTGAGTATATTTTACAAAATGTCAAGTTGTTTTGCATATTCCCGTTAAATCCTGTGCTAATATGGATCAGAGGGTCAAGGTTGACCGTTTCGTGTATTCTTATTACAAACAAACAATACATCATGTTCCTTGTATGCAGTTGTCAATATGGACGGGTATAAGACGGACGACATTTTGTGGCAAGCATTGGATTTGGTAGAAGAGACTTAAGATAAAGGCAATATTATAACCCAAAGTACTGACCAGTATCAGTGTAATAAAGGTAATCATAACTGTATTTTATATCTTATGGTTTTATAACCCCCCCAACCCCACCCCCCCCCCCCCCCCCCCCCCCCCCCCCCCCCCCCCCCCCCCCCCCCCTTCTTCTCGAGAATAAACAAACATTCATATTCGGACATATTAAGGGATAGTTGTGACCTGACTACCAGACACGCTCAACATACAAAGATACAGATTTAATATTTAGGAGCTCCCTTTTTGGGGGGCAAACAGGGGCTGATCCAGCTGGGGGTTCCCAACTCAACAGAAAAGGGGTCCAACCATTCAAATGCATTGATCTTTTTGGGTCCAAACCAAGGAAACCGACCCCAGATCGGCCAATGGGTAACCGGGGGGGGTTCCCGGGAGTTAGAATTCCCATTTTTTAAAAGACCAATGCTTTAGAATAGAGACATATGACTGGGATAACAAAAATTACTTCAAGCAAAGGAGTATTTAAAGGATTATTTTTGTATTCAAAATAGATGCTTAATTCTTTTTTTCGCTATTGGAATTTCCTTAAATGTGTTTTTTAATATCTTGAAACAATTTGTAGTGAACACAATTAGTAATTTCTAATGTTCATGCTATTTAAAAAATAATCAATTTCTATTGTTACGAATAACAATGGACTTTGTTTGCGGGATGTAGAAGCAGGGGTTTCCAGAAACCCCGCTCGTCACACCCTGTGGTCAAAATCCTTTGTTATTCGTAACAATAGATCTATTCAATTAAAACTAATTTCAGAAATAGAAACTATGAAGTATAACAATAGAACTGGGGTGTAATTCATGATAAGTACTCGCTAACGCTCATGAAGAAAGGGATTATCATTCTCTTACATATACTAATATTTGTAATTTCATATATTCTTGAAATATATCACACAAAAAGCATATCAATGGATGTATCACTTCAAAAACTTCTTCTTGGCCATAAAATTAATCCATTTCAAACATTTAAATTGCTCAAAATATTGCAAAAATTGGGAGCTGACTTTTCACAGTGTTATCAGCTCAGCGGCCATCTTGTCTTTCCAAATTTAGAAATACATGTATAGGATGGAATTGAATTCTGGTTACAACAATTATTATGCAGCTCTGATTCCTGTTCAGTGAGTTTTTTTTTAAATACAGTAAGTTTTTTTCAGACTCGATGGAGTCAGTTTTACATGTATCATGATCATGATGATTATAGAACGATTTAGATAGACGGTTTGAGCAAGAGTTTCTTCCTTTAGTCACCATGTTGGAGGTCTAAGTGTGAAAATTCTTTCATAAATCAGCCAAATTCAACTTGTCGTACAGACTGCTAGAGTTTAGAAACAGTTTTTATAAACAATTCTTATTTCTTTTAGTTATGCTTAATTCATCACTACAATCTAGTAAGGATCTCTTATCAGACTTGTGTGTATCTCATGTTTCAATTTGGTAAGTCAAACATGTCAAATAAGAAAATCAACCGTTTATCCCTCTCCAAAATGACAGCCAAGGGAAACAACTCAGATAAAGTTATTTGAAACCCATCTAAACTATTTGAATGTAAAGCTGATATGATGCAGAACATATTCAGTACATGTATGTATACATGTATACATATTACATTAATGGTGTCTGAAAAGAGCTCCAGAACTGTAGCTCTTAATTAAGGACCTTGCAAACTTGCCTCACAATTTGCGGATGGTCCGCAAATTGTAAAAAAATATCATGCAGGGATCATAAGAGCTACGATACTGCAGCTAGTCTGACATGTCTGAATATTGACATGATATATATCATGTGTATATATTTTCTAAAATTCTCATAAACAATATCAATTTTCATAAATATTAATAATCCTTTGTTTTCGGGAATGATACAATTTTGAGAGTAAATTCCTTAATCTTAGGGCCTTTTTGAAATTAGTCAAACTATTTAATGAACATGATGAATTGAAAGCAAATATTTGACAGCACAGCTAAATTAAGGTTCATGTGGACCCTTCGTCTAAAATGGCTGCATTTTCACCTCAAAATTTACTCCGAGTACAGACAAACCTGTGCATCTGGAAAAGTTTTAAGGCATAGCATGCCCTAGATAAATAAAATTCAAATATATTTTATGTTTTAGAAAATTAAAAACTTAACCGGATTTTGCAGTGCACTTTTTTTCATTCCTCCAGAAGGTGCCAAAATAAACTAAGTTGGGAAAGAGGTTTGAGAACATCCCCACAGGTAATAATTGAAGTGAACTGTTTTGATTGACATGGACAATAGATGGACAATAGATACCTGACAATAATTGGTGATTTAAACTGTGTACCTGAGTGGACCATATCAAGTGAAACTCAACTGTTTGTTAAGGTTCATGTGGACCCTTCGTCTAAAATGGCTGCATTTTCAGCTCAAAATTTACTCTGAGTACAGACAAACCTGTGCATCTGGAAAAGTTTTAAGGCATAGCATGCCCTAGATAAATAAAATTCAAATATATTTTATATTTTAGAAAATTAAAAACTTAACCGGATTTTGCAGTGCACTTTTTTTCATTCCACCAGAAGGTGCCAAAATAAACAAAGTTGGGAAAGAGGTTTGAGAACTTCCCCACAGGTAATAATTGAAGTGAACTGTTTTGATTGACATGGACAATAGATGGACAATAGATACCTGACAATAACTGGTGATTTAAACTGTGTACCTGAGTGGACCATATCAAGTGAAACTCAACTGTTTGTTAATTTTATCATCTTCTGCAGGGACGAAAAAAAGTGCACTGCTAAATCCAGTTAAGTTTTTAATTTTCTAAAACATACAATGCATTAGAAGTTTATTTATCTAGGGCATGCTATGCCTTAAAACTTTTCGAGATGCGCAGGTTTGTCTGTCCTCAGAGTAAATTTTGAGGTGAAAATGCAGCCATTTTAGCCAAAGGGTCCACATGAACCTTAATTCTATCATCTTCTGCAGGGACGAAAAAAAGTGCACTGCTAAATCCAGTTAAGTTTTAAATTTTCTAAAACATACAATGCATTAGAAGTTTATTTATCTAGGGCATGCTATGCCTGAAAACTTTTCCAGATGCGCAGGTTTGTCTGTACTCAGAGTAAATTTTTAGGTGAAATTGCAGCCATTTTAGCCAAAGGGTCCACATGAACCTTAAGTTACAGACCAGAACTGTCATGACTGTACCTACTTTCATGCCCAGAATATCCCTATAAAAGTCCGCAGTTTTTGTCCTGTTTCCAACTTTAAAAACAAAATGTAAAGCTCTTCGTGTTGCCATAGTTTTTTTTAACAGTTGTCACTTCTCAAAAATCTTAACGGTGTCTACAACAGTTCAATCTGTTTAATAAAATTAGTTTGCGAAATTGAATCAAACATTCAGAATCTTAACAACGTTTGTAAGTATTCGTAAATCAAATACCAAGCTCCTGAAAGATCCTGATTAGAAAAAAATGGCTGCGCCCATGAGAGACACGGTCTTCAAAGGTTTTTTGTATCACAAGAGAATTTTAAAGGTTGTCAGTCGAAATTATGGAAGAGGATTTCGTCGTGCGCCTGTAAATGTGCTAAATCCAGAACAAGAACGAGAAAAACTTAATCAATTCGGAGTAAAAGTCAAAGATCCAAGAAAAAGTGCTAACGTTAAATTCTTACCAGATGACCCTGTGCAAAAGAACTTAATGATCTCGAGAAAATCACAGACAGACAGTAGACACAGTAAAGACGATTTGAATTTTCATCGACAAAATACAAAAATTTACAACACAAATGGAATTGGAATTGAGTACACAAGAATTGAGGAAACTGACACATCAAAGAAATTAAAGTTAGTTTCATCATTATACATCTACATTATGGTTTCATTAACCATTTTTGCTAACCACTCATTCATTTTTCATGTTAATCACTTTTGTTGTATAACTGCAGATTTAGAGGTAGTCTAACTGGTTGAGTCAATGAAAATATTCTTTGGTTCTGTCGGTTAGTTAGAGAGCTGCCGTTAGATCCTGAGAATAAAGGTATGAATCCCGCTGGTACCATCCATGTATTTTCACAATATTGGTGCTGGAAGCAACTACTATAAATAAATAATAATAAATAAGTTTTATTTAGAGTCCCGCATAGTATACAAAGAAGGACATAACATAAGCTCTATTGAGCTTATAACTGACTACTTCTGGTACATACAAGTGTCTGTAAGTACCTGGAAGTTAAGTAGATATGGTCATGAGGTTTGACCATGATCGTGGCATGTCTTGGTGACATTCAAGGATTCCAAGTGAAAGACTGTGGGGTCCCTTGGCCAGTAATGCACCTGTGAATTGATCGGATCGTGCAGATGGATGGTACACAGTGCAATAAAAAAGAAAAGGGGGAAGAGTCTAAGTGTTTAACAGCAGATATGCAATCAACATGCATGACATGACTTAAGTTGAAGAATGACAGACATAATACCATTGAACACTAGTCAGAATTTTCAAATGACAAAAAAATCAAGGACAGGTCATATACATCGTTATATGTACATGATGTAAGTTAAGGCTGATATGGTATGTATGGTTAGAAGACACCAAAGATGGAATTAAAAAAAAATATATCAAAGTTGAACACCATGGCCAAAAGAAAAAAAAGATCAATCAAATCATAAGCCAAAAAAAAAACCACCAGTAACCAGTAATGAACTCCTGTACACCAGCAGCTTCATAGGAGTAAGCAATTTCTCCAATAATCGTGGTAGTCAGGCATTTGTTATGCTGCTCTCAGGATCCAATTACCTGGTAATAAAATTGCAATTTTATTGATGTTCATGATAGTTATAATTTATGTTGTATATTTCTCAATGTACATGTATTCTTTCTTCATCACATCCACAGTTGATGTTAAACATTGATACATAAATGATACTTGAGTAATATTTACATGTCAGAAAGCTACTTTTTTTTTGCAGTCAGATTGTCATGAATGCAAACTCTAAAAAACAGAAAGGAAGAAGATCTGAAGTTTTACTGGAAGGAAGACGATTGATTATTGATGCATTAAAAGCCAAAGCCACTATGAAAGCACTATATTTCAGCAAATTAGACGTTCTGGACAAAATTCCCAGCAGAAATGATTGACTGTCCTGTTTATAAAGTTCCACATAAAAGTTTAAAGATATGGTGTGAAACAGATACACCACAAGGAATTTTAGGTATTTGAAAATGATTTAAAGACAACAATACTCATAATTTAGTGAAAATCACTCTTGCTGATATTAAGTGAATCACAATGAAGCAAGATTAGTTCTGGTGTATTTGCATGATTTCATCCTTGATTTACTACCCTATTATAAAATATAAATTGAATTCTCATTGAGATACGCAATCACTTACTGCTACATTTTCTTTGAAATTCATCATCACCAAGATTGATTTTCCACTGAACTAAATCAATATTTAATGTTACAGTTTGCTCTTATTATTTTAAAATAATTTTATTTGGTATTGTGTTCAAAGATACCTGATATAAACATCAACTTAAAGAATTGTCCAATGCCATTATTTATTGTATTTAGAAATTGATTTTTGAAATGAGAAATAAAACTTTGAGCTTTTTTTAGTAATTTTGAGATTTTTGCTTATTTAATTATTATAAGATAATTAACAGAAATAGTAATTCTACTGCTATGAAATATATATCATGTATATATTGTGGATTTATTTATTTTGGTAAGTACATGTATCAATTTTCATGATTTGAGAAAAAGTAGGTATTTGGAGAGTATTGAATTTTATAGTTTCACCATATACAAGGTAACTGAAGTTTTGTATGTTCTGGGGTTTGATTTTGTGGTTTCCCAGTATACACAATCTTTAACTTGGTATGAATCCACAGTAGAATATTGTATGAATGCAAAGTTGTTAATGTTTTCATCTTTGCTACAGTTATTAAACTGTGGAAGAAAACAAGTTTGCCCATGTTGCAAATATATAAGTCATTATCGTTCTAAAACTGAGCAATTCTACTTAAGATCTGGTATGATTGCCAATGAGACAACTCTCCACCAGAGACCAAATGACATGAAAGTTTAAGTCAGTTAACAACTATAGGTCACTGTGGGTCTTCAGCAATCAGCAAAACCTAAACCGCATAGTATGCTATAAAAGGCTACTTGCTTATTTACACTTGTAATCATTTTGAACATGATGAAAGCATTTCTGTTCTTTTAAGATTGACCTCTTTCTTTCCAGTCTATTTTGATGAAAGTTATTAATGTAATAATGAGAATTTCATAATTCTATGTGGAATGTATGATTTGATATATTTTAATATTATTTTTAGGAATATTTGAAATTCCAAATGAAGGGGAGACAATTACTTCAAGAGCTACAGAGTTACCATTAACTGTGATATGTGATAATTTGAGAGATCCAGGAAACATGGGAACATTAGTTAGAACAGCTGCTGCTGTGGGTTGTTCTAAGTTTATTACTTTACCTGGTGAGGTTTTAAGATAGACATGATTGCTACTGAACTGACATTCAAAACAATATTTTATACATACATGTATAAAAATAAGAAGATGTGGTATGATTGCCAATGAGACATTTATGTGTTACTCTCCACCAGAGACAAAATGAAATATTAGTTAACACTTAAAGGTCACTGTACAACCATCAACAATGAGCAAAACCCATACCGCTTAGTAAGCTATAAAAGGCCCCAAAATGACAAATGTGAAACAATTAAAACGAGAAAACTAACGGTCTGATTTATGTACAAAACAAGAAACAAAAAACAAATGATATACAGCAACAAAAAAACAACTGCTAAATAATAATAATACAGGCTCCTGACTGTTGACAGTCACATACAGAATGTGGCGAGGTTGAACTTGTTTGCTGGTGCCGAACCCTAGTAAGACATAAGAACAAACTATAAAAATCTGATGAAAAGGGCTTAAGTTATCAGATCAATACAAAGCACAATATATATTTAAATCTGAAAAGTCCTAAAATAGTTTATTTTGAGATGAAAACCTAGTGTCCAGTATTAAGTATGAAGGAAATTCAAATGAGAGATGCATAAAATAATATTCTCTGAATACAATTTTCACTATAAATATGCCATTAAGTAATTACACATGACAGTGATGTCCAAATAAAATAATCTGATATTTATATGATATATTTTGTCTGAATTGAGTTTAATATCAAACTTGTCTTCTATACAGAAACTTCCATCATATTTAAAACAAAAATTGACACCATTTTCTATGTACATAACACATGTTTCTGGAATAAGATTCCTCAGTACTACTCTAGGCCACAAGTTTTGAAAGTCCAAAGTGTATAACTTACCTAATGTATAAACCCATACATAATTCATAATTCAAACTTTCTACCATCTTAATGTCAGATTAGAATAAAATATAGTCAAAATTCATTGACATACTAGATGACTTAAATACACAACTCCCTCAGTCAAGTAACCAGATGAACATTAAATAGTTTTCAATTTTTGAGAGTAAGGCATATTAAAACTGAAAGAGAAACTGATACTTGTCAATTTAATTGTTTGTGTTATAAATGTAAACAAAATATATAAATCTAACATTTCATTTATTTATCAATAATTTAATTTTGGATGTAACGCGTCTTCTGATTGGCTGACGTTGTTTTGTTTATCAGCTCATAGACATAATTTTGTCATGTGACCGTGACGTCATCAACGTTTTTTCATGGTTTACTCAGGTTTAAAATGGAATTTAGAATTAAATTATAAGAAATGACTGTAATATTTTTTCTGTCTATTCGAAATAACATAAAAAATGTGGTGCACACTTTAAAATAACCCGCTACACGGGTTATTCAGTGTGCAACACATTTTTGATGTAATTTTTTCATAGACAGAAAAAATATTACAGTCATTCCTTAATTATAATATACAGTTATCATATGATATAAATCATTTAGTTGAGGCTAAATTAGGGATTAACATTCCCATTAGCAAGGGAGATAATCCACTAAGATCTTGCACAGTGATGTGTGATATTTGCACCATCATACATATGTTTACTGATAGAAATAAAGGGGAATATTTATCAATCTATTTTTCAAACCTAACTGGTGCTCAAGTTTTACTTAGAAGAATGCTTTGTTCTCGTCACCTTAAAGTAGGACTCATGTCTGTTGTTCAGAATTGTATATCATATTAAATAAGATAATTTTCTATTTACCGTGGGTTCATTATAGTTCATGGGTCAAGTTTGTAACGGCATAAAGAACAAGAGATGATGAACAAGTCACTTTTCATCATATTTAATTATTTCACAACTAAATTAAAGCATAGAATTTTCTGTAATTCATGTAATTGGTAGCAATAAAATTTATGATTTCATGATGTCATGAATGATCATTTAATTTTTAAAAGACAAACTAAGTGCTTTGTCTATCCAAAGAATAGAGGACTAAAAGAAATGTACATTTATTCAATGTTAATCTTTTTAGGATGTGTAGATATATGGAATTCCAAAGTTCTACGCTCAGGAGCTGGAGGACATTTTAGGATACCAATCATAAACAATTTGTCATGGGACAATGTCATTAATTATATCCCAAACAAATCCACAGTTTTTATTGCTGACACAAGGCGTCCAACAGATTGGTCATTAGATGACATCACAAAACCACTCTATGATGGGATAGATGAAGACTCTCAAGATGAAAAAAAATCATTAGTATCTTCTGAAGAGGAAATTGGTGATACTCATATGTCAAAAAGACAAGAACTTGAAATGTACAAAAGACTACCTCTGAATGTTTCTCTTTACACAGAAGTTGATTTTACATCAGGTGATCATACTGTGTTGATTGTAGGAGGAGAAATGAGTGGGTTTAGTGTACAAGCTCGTAAAATTACACATGACAATGATGGACAGTGTGTTATGTTGCCAATGGCAACAGGGATTAACTCCCTTAACTCATCAGTTACTGCTAGCATTTTATTGTATGAAATTCATAAGCAGTATACAATGAAAGACAGGAACAATGATGGTGTGGAGAATAAAAAGTCATATTAAAAAAACTCTTCAAAGATACCAGCCTTATAATTTTGTAAGCCAGACGTGTATTTCGTCTACAAAAGATTTATCAGTGACACTCAAATCAAAAAAGTTCAAAGGCCATATAAAATACCAAGTTAAAGCTAGAGCATTGAAGGCCAAAAATTCCTAAAGGTTGTGCCAAATACAGCTAAAGTAATCTATTCCTGGGGTAGAAAATTCTTAGAATTGAATTTGTTTATATATGCTAGATTTTTAATGTTTAAACATAAAAGAAAAAGGATATAAAAGGGAGGTTATATTATTATTTAGAAAATCACATCTGGTAAAGTTCTACAAAGAATATTCCTAATTTTTTTTTAAACTTACCTGGTGCTCAACTGTTACCTAGTAGAATGCTCTGTACTCTTCACCTTAACGTAGGGCTCATTCTATTGAGTCACTTGTGTGAAGAATTTGCCTGTCTTTCTATTGACTCCCTCAGTGGTTCTGTGCTAGCCTGATTGCCCTTAATGCGAAAGGTTGTGTGTCAGAACCCCATCAAAGTCAATCAAAAGACTTGAAATTTGGTATTTGCTGCTTTTCCACTAAGCATGCAGCATTTTGGAGTAAGAGCAAAGACTGGTTGACTTGATGCCAGAATAAAGTGTCTGGGTATGTCTATCACGTTGAAAATCTGGATCAGCATGTCCTTCTAGGTTGACATGTCTTCCTGTGAACTCTTACCTTACCCAGTCTAGTACAAGGCAGGGTTTATATTCATATCACATTATCGTGTTCTCATTAAACATTAAACATCTATTGCTTTTCTTTTCTCTGGTGTAAAAAGCTTTACTTGCTCCTTCTGGATTCCAAAAATACTCTGTGATTTTCTGTTTTATTGTTAAGAAATTAACAGGCAAAAAGTATTAAGGTTATTAAGAAACAAAAACAAAAGTTGGTAGATGGTTTCTCTTATATTATTGGTTTGTCTTGTATTTGTTTATATATATGGTATATTTATATTACAATATAAAAAATGTTATAATCCTGAATATATAAAAATAAGAAGATGTGGTATGATTGCCCATGCGACAACTCTCCACAAGAGAGAAAATGACACAGAAATTAACAACTATAGGTATGGCCTCCAACAATGAGCAAAGCCCATACAGCATAGTCAGCTATAAAAGGCCCCGAAATGACAAACGTAAAACAATTCAAACAAGAAAACTAACATCCTGATTCATGTACAAAATAATGAACGAAAAACAAATATGATATACAGCAACAAACGACAACCACTGAATTACAGGCTCCTTACTTGGGACAGGCACATACAGAATGTGGCAGGGTTAAACATGTTAGCATGTAATGATTGTCTCATGTATATGCAGCCATCAATAAAAAAATCAAAACAGATACTTGCCTGTGATGCCATACATAGGATATATAGATAAATGGGTACAACGAACAAATTCTTATTTTATGGGAGTTATGAGATTTTGAATTTTTTTTTAATATTTAATCAATGACATCTTGTGAATGCATCTTCTTTGAGTCCATTTTACAGAAAGCTCTCATACTTAGTATTGTTTGCCATCATGTGCAGTTGACTATATTATATCAGCATTTTCATTCGACCATTTTTACAGGAGTTAAATGGACTTTTGACCTTTTTTAATTTTTGTCGAGCCTGCAACTTCTGTCGCAGAAAGCTCGATATAGGGATAGTGATCTGTAATGTATTGAAATTGTTTATCTAAGGTCACTACAGAACTTAATTACTTTAACAGATGCAGACCGTTATAATCGCGTCTTATCATGTGTGTAACTTGTATTAGTTTATCAGTTGTATTAAAACCATGAAACTGCAGACGACTTTATTACCTCTCTAGCAATTAGTAGCTATTTTATAATGGCGACGAGACAAATTGGATTAACAAATGAACAATTGGATTAATTAATAGTATTGATTAGTTCCATAATGGCATCGGCACTACCTGTGTTTCCACCTTTCAGTGTACATGAAAGTGCAGCTGATCAGCGCTGGAAAAAATGGACAAAACGACTTCAAAATTTACTTGTTGGAATGAATATCAAGGATAAAGTGAGACAAAGAGCGTTACTTTTGCATTACGCAGGGGAAGAAGTAAATGACATTTTCGATACCTTACAAGAAACTGGAGAGGATTACGATACAGCACTTACGAAGCTTACCGAATATTTTGCACCGAAGAAAAACGTTGAATACGAAATATATAAATTCCGTCAGGCAAAGCAAGAAACAAATGAAACAATGGATGCATTTCATACAAAGTTAAGACAATTATCCGTCAACTGTGAATTTAATGATGACAATCGGGAAGTAAAATCTCAAATCGTTCAAGGTTGTTCATCTTCAAGACTGAGGAGAAAAGCTTTAAGAGAAGATATGACTTTGGAACAATAAGGGGACGACCATTTGATATTCTGGGGGGGGGGGGGGGGGGGGGGGGGGGGGGGGGGGGGGGGGGGGGGGGGAGGGGGGGCCAGGAGGATTTGTTTTGGATCGGTTATTTTTGTAAACTAAGAGGACAGATTAT